CGCCATTTCGTGAGGGGGGCCGTGAGGGGATGGAACAAAAATCCGGAGTTTTCACCTTAAAGTGTGGGCGGAGGGAGTGCGATCGCGCTTTGCGGAGCGCGGTGTGAGAGAGGGTTGGCGTACAGTCATGGAGGCACAGAATCTAGTTTAGAAAAACCTACAAGATCATCGCCTCCAATGACTCTTGTGACTATCAACACACCGGAGCACTGAGTGTCATTTCCAGTCATTCCTTGAACACCTTAAGGGATGGGGACTCCAGACCTCCTTGGGCAGCCTTTTCCCAATGACTGACCACCGTCTCCATGGACAATTTTTCCATAATATCCAATCTAAACCTCCCCTGAGGTTTTCTGAGGCCATTTCCCCTTGTCCTGCCCCTGTTCCTTGGAAGCAGAGCCCGACCCCTCAGCTGTCCCCTCCTGTCAGGAGCTGTGCAGAGCCATAAAGGCCCCCTGAGCTTCCTTTGCTTCAGGCTGAGCCCCTTCCCAGCTCCCTCAGCCCCTCCTGGTGCTCCAGACCTTTCCACAGCTCCATTCCCTTCTCTGGGCACTCTCCAGCCCCTCAATGTCCATCCCAAACTGAGGAGTCCAGAACTGGGCACAGCTCGTGGCAGCCTCAGCAGTGCCAGCACAGGGGACAGTGCCTGCCCTGGTCCTGCTGCCACAGGCCAAGGGCCACCAACCTCTTGCCCACCTGGCCAAACCTGGGCTCGTGTTCAGCCACTGTCAAACAGCACCTCCAGGCCCTTTCCTACTTTCCAGACCCTCTGCCCTAGCCTGGAATGCTCCATGGGGTTGTTGTGACCCAAGTGCAGGACCTGACACTTGGTCTTACTCAACCTTGGACTCTTGGTCTCAGTCCATTGATCCAGCCTGTCAAGGTCGTTCTCCAGGGCCTTCCTGCCTTCCAACAGATTCATACTCCCTCACAATTTGGCACTGTCTGCAAATTTGCTAATGGTGGACTCAATCCCCTCAGCCAGATCATCAATAAAGACATTAAACACAACTGGGCCCTACACTGATCCCTGGGGGCACCAGCAGTGTGCAGCATCATTCCCCACTACTGTTTGGGCCCAGCCACCCAGACAGTTCTTAACCCAGCCTAGGGTAAACCTGTGCAAGCCATGGACTGACAGCTTTTCCAGGAGTTTGTGTGTAAAGGGAACTTAAAAACCATCAATTTTCAACGCAGTGTCATGGGCAGGTACACCTTCCACTAGACCAGTCCAACCCGGCCTTGAACACTTGTGGGACAGCCACAGCTTTTCTGTGCAAGTCATGCCAGGGCCTCACCACCCTCAAAGGGAAGAATTTCTTCCTAATACCTCATCTAAATCTTCCTTCTTTGAGTTTACATCCATTTCCCTGTTTCCCATCCCTACCTGATCATGTAAAATTCCCTGCGCAGCACACACTACATCTGGAGAAAAGGGAGATGGCTAATTTAGGAAGAAATGCTGAAGAAGGCTGTGCTGTGAGAGCCCTAGGGAAGGGAGGGCTGCTCATACAATCCCAAATCAATACAAACTGGAGCCTGTCCAACAGAAACAGCAAGATGAGAAAACAGTTTGAGGAGAAGATCACCCCACTCTCCTTTCCAAAGGTCATGTAAAAGTTGTTTCAGTTTAAGCAGTGACACCTTGCAGTAAAGGCAAGCTGGGGTGACATTGCTGCAATCATTTCCTCTGGAGCAGAGTGAGGTATGATTTCCATAAAACCAACAGCTGCCAAACGAAATAATATTTTCCGGTGTTATCTGCTGGAAAGCTTTATACACAATTAATGGAGTGTCACAATGAGAGATGAGCAGAAACTTTATTTCCCTCACCAAAATACAGGAAAAGCTGTAGCAAACGAGCTGTCTTTAGGAAATCGGCTGTTGCAAAGATAAAGTTGATGTTTCAACATAAAATCACTCATCTCATCCACAAACTACTCCCAGTAAAAGTGCTGTGGCGTCATTATGACCCATGAAACTTTGATGTGAAACCCAGAAAACAGATTTTAAAATAAATTTTAGTGAAGATAAGCCCTGAAAAACCTGTTCTAGTGGAAGGTGTCCCTACCTGTGGCAGGGGGTTGGAACGAGATGGGGTTTGAGGACTCCCGACCCAAACCAGTCTGTGATTCTGTGACCCTAAGATGAATAAGAAGGTGAGAGAACACAAGGCCAGGAGAGTGGGGGGTGGGTGCTCAGAGCTGCTCTGAGCCATTCCCAGCTCTGGCCCAGGAGCCTTCCCATTGCCTTGCAAGAAGGACAGACAAGAAGAGCACGGGGCAGTGAGGACATCAGGAAGGGCTGAGCCTGTTGTGGTTTCCTTACAGCTCAGGGTGCTGTACAGGATGGGTTAGGAAGAGAGGCCCTGGCAGTGCATCACAGCCACCTTCCAACCATTCCTCATCCCTCGCTCCTCAGGAGCCAGAAACAACAATTTCTGCAGTCCCTCTGCAATAACAGATTTCCTCATATCACTTGATGCTTCTTTAGCCTTATTTATTTGCAAATTGTTTATTTCTTATTTGGAATACCCTTGAGCTGCACAGGCGCATTTATTCCCACAGACCTTGCACTGGACTGTGCTGGAAACTCCCTGGTGCAGGCTTTTCCAAAGCCACCCAAAGGCAGTTTGCCTCACAAGACCTGTGGGAGGTAGAGAAACAGGATGTGTGCAGAGATGCTGTCATACCTTGGGGCTGGGGAATGCAGGTTTTCCACTGCAGTTTGATCCATTCAAGGCAGATATTTCTGTATTTGATGATTTCTTGTACATGAAAATGTTGTGCAACAGGGATGTGCAGTCTCAGAAGTAAAAAGGTGTGTCAGCCACATACCTGCATTTGCAATTAATCCTGGTTCTGCCTCGAGGAATGCAGTGTTTTATTCCCTCGGGTGCTGGCATACCATTCAACTGCAATTATCCTGTCAGGAAAAGAGGAAGGCAGCTGTAATCTTGCACAACAAAGATTTCTGCACTGAAGGATTTCTTTATCAAAGATTTTAGTTTTTTTTTTAAGATAACACAGAAGGAAATTAAAAGTAAATTCTGTAGAAAATGGTCTAATCAATTCTCATTTCACATCCATTTGGTATCTCAAATCAAACAATGACTGAGCATCTTCTCTGATTAAACTTTGTAAACAATGCCAGGAAGCCACAGAGGAGCTCTGGAGATGGCCCACAGCTCTTAATGCACTTTCCTGTTAGTCTGGACACACTGACTTTAATCCTGATTGGAATCCCCAGGGAAAATGCCAGTGTCTGTTCCCTTCATCTTAAATCCCTCTCAAGTACTTGTCCTTATTGGAAAACAGCCGTATAATCAGTCATAATTCAGTGTGTAACAGGCTGTTCATGAGGAAGATTTTGGCAGAGAACTGTGAGGAAAGATTATGGAGCAATTTCTCTGAATTATGCACAGGTTAACCACATCTTTCAACACTAAAAATTGTCATTTCAGTTATAGATATCAAGGAGAAATCTAATACTATTGAACTTGGTAATAAAAATCCCACTGAGTTTAATAGATTTGACTTACTGGGTTTTCAGGAGAGGAAAAACTGAGTATATATCTACAATTTAAGGGGCTCATAAAAAGGAGAGGGAGGGACTTTTTATACAGGCATGGAGTGACAGGACAAGGAGGAACAGCTTCAAATTGATAGAGGGCAGGGATGGATGGGATATTGGGAAGAAATTCTTCCCTGTGAGGGTGGTGAGGCCCTGGCACAGAGCAGCTGTGGCTGCCCCTGGATCCCTGGAAGTGTTCCAGGCCAGGTTGGACAGACCTGGAGCAGCCTGGGATGGTGGAAGGTGTTGGAATGATAGTGGAAGGGGATGGAATGAGGTGAGCTTTAAGGTGCCTCCCAACCCAAACCATCCTGTGATTCTGTGAATTTAGCAGAGACTCTCTGAGTATCTCTAACAGAGTCCAGCCAAGGTCACCTTCCTGCACCCTTGTAAATCCACATCAGGAGCAGCCAGAGCACAGAACTCCTCACCCACTTTCCCTCTTTATCCACTAACAGACATTGATTCAGTCTGTCATCAGCAGGGTAAACAGATCCCTGCACTTGCAAGTGCCCCAACTCCCCTTCCTCACTGGCAAACACCCTTTCCTATTGCCCTTATTAACTCACCTCCAGAATCCCTGCTTGGGCTCTCCCATTCAGTAGAGCTCACATAAACAAATTAACATGATAAATTCCATTGCACATGAAAGCCAGTCTCATGAGAAACAATCACATTTCAAACCCAATTTCAGACACGGGTGCTGCCAGGCATCTCACCAGGACTCATTACAGAATCCGCCCGTGGCCTCAATCCCTCCAACATTCATGGTCAGATGGCAACAGTTTCCATTTAACAGGCTAAATACTGAACACTCAACCTGTCCTCATAAATAACAGGGCTTGTTTTTCTCATGCTGGGTAGAGCTCCAGTTAATGGCTTTCCACACAATTCTGAGCATGATAACAGTGTGTGGACAGGAAAAGAGACCAAGAGTTGTATTAAAAAAAAATAATTATAATGCAAATCAGGATTTGGCTGCTCATCAACAACAGAGGGGATTTTCCAAAACATTCTGCATTAGCCTAGCTGTAGCAGTGGTGGCTTCAAAATGTCACCTTTAAACCTTAGCTCTTAGAATCCCAGAATGGCTTGGGTTGGAAGGAACCTTAAAATCATCCAGTTCCACCCCCTGCCATTGGCAGGGACACCTCCACTAGACCAGGGTGGTCCAAGTCCCATCCAGCCTGGCCTGGGACACTTCCAGGGATTAACATCCAAAAAGAGGTGAGATACACACAACTTCAGCTTTGTCTCAGAAAAAATAAGCTGTGGAGGGCTCTGACTTTGGCCTTCCTGTTCTCCCACACACATCCCTTTGTCCCTGAGTATGGCACCTTCAGGCCCAATGTGTATTTATACTCTTAAATTACACTAAATAGGATTTCAAAAGCCTCCATCCACATCTAAATTCCTTCACAAATCTTGCTTTTGATCTCTCCAGCTACATCTGTATTATCAAATCAGCTCAAAGCTGTACCAGTGCTAGAAATCCACCCCACTGGTTGTTCTGGATATTTAAAGTTCAGCTCTGCCCTGGCTGTGGCTCCCAGCAGTAACCTCAGGCACGGGAGCTGGGTGGAGTGGCTGACTCACAAACCACATCCACAGCCTCTGTGCATGAGGGCACACAGCCAGTGCCCCCTCCAAGGTTTCAGGACTAAACCACAGGAATGAGGCAGCAGCAGTAAAGATGCAAAAGTTCTCTGTAGATGAGAACAGCTTTGTTCACCTCCCAGACAGGGAACTGGCTTGCATTAAACTGTACTTACAGACCTTGGAATGGGGCCATCCAAGGGAAGAAGGGCTCCTGAGTGGATGCTTCTATTTTTCTGTTCTCCCAGTAATACAGCAATACAATTTGTTTTGTACTCCTGAAGCAAACAATTGCACATTCACAGTTGGAGGTAGGGTATAAATATTGTCTCTGGCTGATCCCTTGATCCTGTCGTCCTCACTGAATTAATCACACTCACAGATCAATCCAGGATTTGTTGCTGGCAGAGCAGATGGCCAGGCAGTCTGCAGTTGTGAGCAAGGCAGGCACGTTCTCCTTCCAATTATCCAGCAGCATTTTCCAACAGTGGGTATTTAAAATTAGACATTATTTTGAACAAATGTTAGATCTCTCTTGTTCCTTCTTCAGCTCCATAGGGACAATGACCCCTGATTTCTGCTCTGCTTCCATGCTTTAAGACTCAGCAAAAGTACAGGATGGCTGGTGCCCCTTTCCCTTTCAACTGAATGTTTTCTGCCCCATTTTCTTCTGCTGTCTTCCCATTTTCCACAGAAATGAGGTGACAACACCAGCTGCTGTTTAGCACAGGGATTTCAAGGGTGCATTGTATT